CTTTCTCAGAGCTGGGCAGTAGCTGCCTCTGAGGATGACGAGCCTCTCCAGGAGGGGACAGTCGCCACCACACTCGATATGCCATTTGGGACACAACCCACTGAAAAGCGAACTTGGCACCCCTCAGTCTTCCCCGGGGCCTTGTTCAGATTCACAGCAGGTACCCCCATCTCACATCTATTTCCACGCATCTTGTCTGTCTCCTTTTCTGTGGCATCCTGGGACCAGCCTCATGGGTAGCGCCTTAGTAGATCTCTAAGGACGAACAGATAGGCAGACCACAGCCTGCACGGATGGGCGGTGCTCTCCCAGGTGTCTGGCTCTGACTCTAAGGCACTGCTTTTATCACCTGGGAAACCCAGAAGCCACTCCGGATCCCACGGAGGACAGGGGAGAACGTGTGTGAGGCTGCTCCGGGGAGGTAGGCGCAGCTGGGTACTGGAGTTCACGGCCAGAGAAACCCTCCCAGCGAAACCATGCTATGGTCCCATCAGTAAAAACAGCAAAATCTTGGAAACAGGGCAAGCAAAGAGGTAGTAAAGCAGGTGTTTGTCACCGTGGGAATGACTGCAGCGTTGTGTTTTCTTACCAAGCCACCACCAGGAGTTTTGCAGAGACCACGGGTAGGGTCACCGATCACAAGCCAAAGCAGTGCAACAGACGCTCTCAAGACAAGAGACCCTCTCAAGGTACGTGGTGTGCGTTCACCATGGAAGGAGAGTCCAGGAGAAGCAGTGGTGACCGCCCAGTTTGAAAGGTGAATCATGATCTCGGGGACAATGCAGGACATGGCCGCTGGAGGATGCGGTCTTGAACTTATGTGCATGCAGGGCTCAACCCCTGCCAGGCTCTCTCAGTGGAAAACCTTCACTGCAGCCTGCTGGGGTGTCGATAGGAGGCGCCCCCCAGAATCTCCTCTGCGAATGCAGAGACAGATTAAATGACTAGATCGTGAGAGCTGCATCGTAAGCAGTGGGGATCTAGTTGACGAATTAATAATTCGAAAGGACTGGTGTACTGAGTGGTAACAGTGGGCAGGTGGCACGTGGCCGGAAGGGGGCCTCTTCTGTGCTACTCCTTCCCTTCCCCTGTTTCCTGAACCAGGGACCGAGCAGGTTTTCCTCCTCCATGCCCTTCCGCCATGATCTGCCTCATCTCAGGCAGAAAAAAATAAACTCCTCCTCCAAGTTGTTCTTGTTGGGTATTTTGGCCACAGTGATGCAAAGCTGGCCGGCACTGGCAGGCACAGCATTCTCCTTATCTTACAGAGGCACAAGATCACAGCCAAGTGGTCCATTCTAAATGGAGTTTGAGCTCCAGGAACCCAACTACACAACCCTGGCTCTGGGGTCCTGTGTCCTACGGTCAGAGCACCTGCCTCTGGGGTGGGGAAGAGGGGTCCAACTCAGGACTTTAGAAGCAAGGGTATGGGCCACGGTCTGATCTACACCATCTTGTTCTCCTTGAATTTTTATTGGACATGAACTGTCTAATTTTAAAAATAAATTTAACAATAGCCGGCGGGGGCGGGAGAGGCACGGTAGCACGGTAGCCTATAATCCCAGCAGCTCAGGAGGCTGAGGCAGGAGGATTCCAAGTTCAAAGCCAGCCTCAGCAACAGCAAGGCGCTAAGCAACTTAGTGAGACCCTGTCTCTAAATAAAATACAAAATAGGGCTGGGGATGGGGCTCAGTGGTCAAGTTCTCCTGAGTTCAATCCCTGGTACCCTCCCCTGCCCCAATAAATAAAGCAATAGATCATGTGTTAAGATGTGTAGCTGGAAAAACATGAATGATCCATTTAGAATGGTCAGGTGCAGCAGAAAAGCTTGCAGAGTGACCAACCAGAAGCAGCTTGGGGTTTTGTGCACAAGGAGGACTCACCTACCAGCTCCGAGGTCTGGAGTGGCCTTCTCTCTGTGTCCACCTCCTGGGTGCTACTCTCACCCAGACCTGGCAAGTCTTCCAAGACCAGGCAGTGCCTATGCCTAATGGGCAAAACCAACGGGCTAGCAACACAGAGCCCCTGACCCTGGTTTTGATCTACTTCTGAAGGGTCCCAGGGGAAGTGTCTTTCTTTACCTCAAACATCTTACCCACAAAATATTAATGTCATGGGAAGGCAAATATCACATAATGGGTGACATTTACTGAGGCAACGTGGAGCAAACAGTCAGTGCATAACTAGTGCTATTATTATCTTGGTCTTGACCAAGACTGAAATCTGCACTTGGATTCCAATAAAACTACTGTCCTCTTCAGGGACCATGTGCCTTTTCCTCTCTTCCTCCCATGTCTCCCTCAAAAAAATCATCAGATCCGAGACCTTAATTATAATCAGAGCTTCTAGTAACCCTACCAGGTAGATGTTCCTAGCTCATTTAATGAACAAGGGAACTCACCGAGATTCCTCAGCTGGGGCGGTGAGGTCACCCCACCTTACTGTGAAGCTAAGGGAGAGGCCTAAGGGAGCTCTCCTTGCACCTTACAGACCACCTTGAGTTAAACACCTGCACTACTGGGCTGGGGTGTGGCTCAGTGGCAGAGCGCCTGCCTAGCACATGCTAGGCCCTGGGTTCGTCCCACGCACTGCAAAACTGCAAAATCCAAACAACTCACGTTTTTTGCCGGCTCTTCAACAGGTAATGAAATTCCCCAAAGGTCAAAACTGGGCTGAGTCTAAATGACACAATACCTTTATTTTATTCACTCATTTATTCCGTCAGCCCTGAAACACACAGCAACTATGCAAGTTGCCACCTAAGGACACCAATGCTTTTTTGTATCCTTCCTCTGCTGCAAAAAGTGGAATAACGGTGATACACGGAATCCAAGCTGAAAAGACACCTGGACTTCTTTCTGTGCCTTACCATTTTTTTTTTTTAGAACACTTAAGAAAAACATTGGGAACTGTTCTCTAGCTCTTGTACCTGGAATATACTTCAAATGTTCAATCTTGAAATATCAAGTATTATGACCAAAAGACAACAAATATTGAGATATAGTTGGTACAGTGTATCAAATCCCTGGTTCTAGCGAAACATACTTGGTGAGCTGCTGAGCCTCCGCTGGACCCTGACGGCTCCACCTGGAATCCTTGCTCGCACTGCCGGGAGAAGTGGTTTTTGCACAACTCTGGAGCACAACCTCACTCATTTTTCCAACAGAAATGTTATTATTGCTACTTAATTGCTATAACACACTCACCTTAAGGACTAAACACGTTCGTGTATAATGGCGTTAGCCGCAGTTTTAATCATTTTTGAACAACTGTATCCTAAATTCCAACCAAGTAAATTAACTTTAGATACCAACTCAGGCTGAAAAGTGGGACCTCACACACTCCCTACTGCACAGAGGAACTGTCAGTCACCATTAACGAGACTCACCCTTCTAAGCTGCAGAACTTGCAATGCAATGCAAAGAGTAGGATTCAAAATGAATACTAGCCACATTCACTCCTAAAATTCTTAGCAAATATAAACAGCTTTAGAAATCTCACATCACCATCTGTGGCAATTCTTTCTTTTTTTGGTACTAGGGATTGAAGCCAGGGTGCTTAACCACTGAGCCATATCCCGCCCCCCCACCCCCCACCCCCGCCGCCGCCGCCGCCGGTGGCCTTTTTTGAGACCGAGTCTTCCCAAGTTGCTGAAACTGACTTTAAATGTGTGATCCTTCTGCCTCAGCCTACCAAGTGTCAGGGATTACAGGGACGCACCACTATGCCTGGCCCACAATTTTGTTTTTTAAAAATTTTTAGTTGTAGATGGACACAATACTTTCATTTTATTCATATATTTCTTATGTGGTGCTGAGGACTGAACCCAGTGCCTCACACACGCTAGGCAAGTGCTCTACCACTGAGCCACAATTTCTTAATACATATATTATTGATCCAAGACCAAGTCCCATAACAACCTCTAAGGCAGGACTTGGGTGGCCTAATAACACCACCTCCCACGTGCAGAAGCACCTACCCTCCAGCAGAGAGCCATGCTATGCTTTTCATAGGTCAGGGGTAGCTGGTCTGATATTCACAGACATCTTTGATGGGGTGCTCATACTTGGTAACACAGTCCAACTGCATAATGATCTCTAAGCAAGTCTAGTAGTGTGTACTGCTCTCAACTCCACGAACCTAGCATCTCAGAAACGTTTAGGGATGAACTCAGTACCTTCAACATAGAAAAAGTAGACACAGGACTACTAAAATTAAGGAATCAGTCAGGGTCCTCCTAGCCCAGTTGCTTTTGACTCACCCATTGGCCAAGCACCAAACTGAGCTGTAATGTTGCAAAATGAGCTAACCCGTGGAGTTTGCAGACTGAGGAAACAGGATTGCTGGCATTTTTAAGTTTCAAAATTGCAGTCTTTAGGAAGGTTACAAATAGACTCAAAGGTCATACATTTAAACTCAAATCTGATGCTCAATAACTGCTAGAAGGAACAGAAATATGCTCATTAGACAGCAAAGTAGTCAGAAATCTAAGTACTGGTCAGTGGGGAAAAAAATCAGTCTTCCCACAAACTCATCTTAAGCAAATAAAATTCAGTGGGGGCTGTTAGAGATCAAATATGAAGAAGCTGAAGAAGCTCCCTGCCTGCCACCCAGGGATAGGAACAAAGAATGGAGCTGCAAGTCAACCAACCCACCTCTCCAAGTACCACACCTCCTTCCCCACACACAGGACTCAAAGTGGGACTCAGGAGAGCTGGGCATGCCTTGTGACAATCAGCCAGCAGAAATCCCACATGGATAAATCTGGACTTGGTCAGATAATCAGGCTTAAAATGTCAGGAAAAAGCCCACGACTTTCCAATCAACTCTGCTCCATCTCCCTACTGAACACGCCAAGATCACTTAAGCAGCCGGACTGTAACAGTTACACATCAAGCTTCTCTTCAGAGATCAGAAAATGCTCTTGATCCTCGACTATCTAATGTGGGCCAGGGGCGGGCAGGGTGAACCAGTAAAAAAAGTCATTCCACACAGGAAGGTAGTCTTCTAATTTATATTTTATTGCATTACGAAAATAATACATTTATTTGGCAAAGTAATCTAGGCTCCAAATTGAAATAAAATTCTGAAGTGTACTGATTATTTCTTAAATGTGAAAGATGTATTCTAACCAATACATACTAGCATCCTTACGAGGCCAATAACCCAGTAAACCTAATTTTAATAATTCCATATGAAATTACAAGGTGTTTTTCCATTCATCCATTTTATGAGTAGCACAAATCTCCGGAGAACTGACCTTTGTTTTATCAAAATCAATGCATTTAAAAAACTCCTGCTCAGAAGACAATCTGAAGCACTACCCAAATGTTTATTTCCTTTGGTTCTGCAAGTTACATTTTCATCCTTACCATGTTACATTTTTTCACAAATCAAACATTGCAGCAGCTTTAGATTCTGCCCAAGTACCTTTATAAGTGAACTAGTATATTACATTTACATTATTTGAAAAGTTGCTGATTTTACAAATGCATAAATACATGCCTATCTACACCGGCAAAATAAAATACTCTGAACCTCAATGCTTAACAGGCCACGCCGTCCAGCCCCGTACTTTGGGAGGCCTTTGCACACCAAATGCTTCTTACTCCCTGATGGGCAACTCCATCACTCAGGCTACACTCCTGAAAGGTGTAGACGTGGATAAGTACTAAGTGGATTAAACCTACCTAATAATCAACATTTAAAATATAACATTTTCACTAATTTCTGTTCTGCTATATTTCTGGAACTAAAAAGATATATTTTCCAAAAAAATGTAAGAGAATTTTTGTTTTCACTTTTTAAAAGGGAAGAGTGATAAAGACACATTATATTTATATTCTCTTTCCTCCTTAGCATCTCCAAATTATTTTTACACGTTGGGTTCAAAGACTAGAGCAACAGGTAAACAATCTGTTTAAGGTCAAAAAATAAAATACCTTTAATCACTCAAGCCTTCCTTCTCCATTTCAACTTCCTGATAGCGCTCTGTTCCATGTGTTAAGGAAACGAGCTGAAAAACCAGCCTTTTGAACGGGGCACCAGTCAGCCCGCTGCCCTCAGGCCTGACGTTCTCTGGTGCAGTCATCAAAGTGCACATCTGCACATGTGTGGAGATGTGCAGTCATCAAAGTGCACATCTGCACATGTGTGGAGATTTACTTCCCAATGGCCACCAATATCTAAAGCCAGCTCAACTAGGTTCCCAATTCAATGACAGAAGTATTCCACCTATCCTAAAGAAGATACTCCATCAGCATTCCACAGTTATCTGTATAAACAGCAACAATTTTGATCTATGATCGACATGTGAACATCTAATAAATATTAAAACAATTAAAACTATAGATTAAAATGCAGATCCCTCATAGAGTTAAGTGATGTCATTTTGGTACATTCACCATTATTGTACTTTATTTAATAAAGAAATACATTTGCCCTTGCAAAAATAGCAATTGCAAGTTTACAAATAAAACCACAGACCTCAAAGTCATGATGCTAAATCTTCAACTTATAACGGACAAAAGTAAAGATTTGTTTACAAGTGGTCCATGGCACTATAATTAAAATAAAACATATCAAAAGGTCACAGGAGATTAAAGAATAGGTTTATTGACAATAATTTCATAAATATTCTAAAGAAAATTCCTAAATTTCTAAACTTAAAATGTTTAAAATCTGTTCTCATTGGCAAAATATCCCTCAACAAAATAAAGTAACAGGTCACTATGAATGAAAGTCACATTTAAAATTGCTTCATTTTAACATCATCGCAAAAAATTTTAAAAATTTACAACGTTTGATTCCCCCCTCTTGTTACAGTAAATCAATATTCAGTTTTTAACTATCAGACATATTCATAAATATATCATCGAGCTGCTTGTGAACCTGTCAAGTCAGTCAGTAGTATATACCCTACAAACATACGTGGCGTCCAATCATTTGGGTATTTTTTAGTCATAGCAATTTAAGTAGTCAAAATGCAAAACTTGTGGTTTCCCTCCAAATCACCCAAAGCATATGATACAGTGTGAGAAATTGTTTGCATGTTTTTTATAAGTTCATCTATGTACTTCAGATATCTGAAACTAAAAAAAGGGATTCTTTTGTATTTTGATAAAAATGTACTCGAGTATTTCATAACATGAATATTTATTGCTTCATATGAATACTGTATTGAAAGCCCAAGCATTCAGTTTACACACAGAAATTATACAATTATATACCGCTTCACAAAGGCAGTGAACACATTACACTCTACAAAATCTACTTTACAGAAATTTAAAAATTCTAAATATCAAAAGGTACAGCTGAATAAACAGGTATAAACTTGGCAGCCAGTAATTTTGACAGGGAAGTTGCAGCTTGCATGACTTTAAATATGTGAATTTGAAAATATTGAGTTTAGAGTAATCATTGTGCTTTGTGTTGATCTGAAAAATATAACACTGGCTGTCGAAGAAGCATGTTCAAAAATATTAATTCACTTCAAAATGTCATACAAATTATGGTGGTTTCTATGCACCCCCTAAAGCTTCAGTCATTTTAGCTCAGGTACATTACTAAAGTAATATATTAATTCTTCCAGTACAGTGGTGTTTCATACCATTGACATTTGCATACTCTAGAATAATTTAGAAAGAAATGTGTAATATTCACAATGTTCAGAAAAGCAAGCAAAAGTTTAAGGAACCTGCCTGGTTCTTCTGAGATGGGCTTGTGTCAGCTTCATAAGCATTCACTCAGGAGAACAGTCAGCTGATGTGTGAACACAATTCCCAAGATAAAGCACATTTTCTCATAAATAATGAAGTCTTTTATCAGGCACCTCTGAAGTATACAAAAGAATTCTAGTTTGAACAGATCTCTTGGAATGTGTTTAACCTGGTATTACAACAGACTTAGATTTCCAGGGTTTCACAGGGCCAGATTTTATGTGAATTACTCAGAAGAGAAAGAAAATGTCTCGTGAAAGAGGTGAACTCAATCATCACCAATAGAAAATTATCCACTGTATTCATCTCTTATAGAAACAGAAAAATATAACATTTCCCCCCTTAGAATTATATATATATGTATGTATGTATGTATATATGACTTAAAGTTCCATTGTACATAGTCAACCAATAAAACCTGGAAACCAGCATGAAACCCTATAATTCACATGTTAAAATGTTGAAACTATGACCAAAATATGAAATCTGCTACAGCTGTCAGAAAGAGACAAGACATAAAGCTTTCTAGCACATGTATAAACTAAATGTGATAATCTTGAAAGGTTTCCAAAATTGTAATTATAATGTTCCAGTTTAAAAACTTCTAAATTAAAAAAAAAAAAAAAAAAGAAAAGAAAAAAGGCAAAAACAACAACAACAAAATCCCCAAAAACAAAAACAAAAACAAAATAGATAGCGGTAAGCAGGACCCAGAGGAGCTGCTATTCACAGTTCTTACATGTACAACTCTTTCAGGATTCACACTTAAAGTACTTTTTAAAGTACTTTAACAACCTGCTTCTCTTTCTCTTGTAAAACTAAAGGTCCACTTTATTACATAAAAGTTTTATACAGTGTAAAACCAGAACTGTATGTAAAATACGGCATCTAAATGTGGTGAAGTAGTCAGTCTTGCTCCATTGGTTCCTCGGGGACTTCGGTGGCGTCCTCATCATTTTCCATGGAGGATTCTGAGAGAACCTCTCCAGTTTTACTGGAACTGGATCCTACTGATTCTTCTGTCTGGTGGCAGTCAGAACCACTACTTACAGGGCCCGGGGTGTCACTCCCTTCAGAATGTAAATCCTTCTCAGCTCGAGACACAGCCGATTCCTCCACCTGACTCTTCTCCTCAGAGGTCTCCTCGTTCACAGTTAAGGCATCATCAGGTTCTTTTTCTTGATTTTTTCTTTCTGGGATTATTTCTCTCGATGTCATAAAAGACTCTAAAAATAAGCAAATGTTGTTGTAGTTAAATGTATTTTCAAAATACCTCCACAGTCACGTGTCATGAATTCTGATATTCTACAGTCAAATAATTTCCCCTCAAACTCAGCAGCAAGTACACACAGGGGCCAACATCAGCACTGTAAGTAGTTCCATTATGTTAAATTCTTTCAGAAAAACAAGAAAGCACACCCTTCTACAGATGTCTCTAAATACCTTCTTCTTCCTCCTCCTCCTCCTCCTCCTCTTCTGTGCAGTGCTGCTGGGTACAACTACTTTCTTTGTCCTTGTCCTGAGATGATGATGGTGCCTCTGCGTCCTCCGCCAGTACCGAGGCCCCCTCACTGGACGTGGTCTGACTGGCCGTCTCTCTGACTTCCCCGTCTCTGTCAAACCTGAGTCTTTTGGCCTCGTGCCCTTCAGCCTCCATGGCGTCGTCATCTGAATGTTTGTTTTTTATAGGACTCACTGAAGACCCTTCTGATTCAGATGCTGCACAGTCACTGAAAATGTTGTTTTAAAGTGTCATTAATACTATTTTCCTCAACTTCTACATTCTTTTAAATTGTATTTTAGTGCCAAAGTTACACTGTCATATCTGTTTGAAGAAAAACATCAGAGAATAATTTCAACGCAACCTAAACTGTTCCATGAATGTTTCTCATTAGTGCCAAGTCACCAAGTTAGTGCCACTTTTCTGGGCATTTCCCAGTAAGTTGAACACCGTTACACTGAAACTAGAGGTCCCCCAGATTTACACACTCAAGTCCTCTCACTTAGTCTTCCTTTTCCCTTAATGTGACAGAGAAACTCTGAAGTAAAATAAAAAGTTCCCTTTCATAACCTGTACTAAGAAACTACTCAGAATTTCAATTTCTTTTCTCAAGTAACTTTTGAAAAAAAGACAAAACCTGTATCATGACTACTTTGACTTTCTTGGGACAGAACCTACATGCGATAATCTCTCCCAAATCAGCTGTTTTAATAAGTCTTTTGTCTACCTTACACTGTGTTAAAGAGAGCCAAAGATCCTACCACAAAACTGCAACCCTGCCTGCCCTCGGTGTCTGCGGAGCCCTGGCTCAACAAGGCACACCTGTCTGCACAGCACCACACATGTCCTCCCAGGGCTCCCGACAGCTCCAGTCACTCGCAACTCTGACACAGTGCGAGTCCAGGTAACATGTGTTCTGCTCTACTGTCTAGAGAACAGGAAGGGGAGAGAGTCTACACATGTACTACTGACATACTGTTTTAATTTCCCAAATATTCTTTTAAAAAATATTTTTATTTTTTAGTTGAAGGTGGCCACAATACCTTTATTTTTATGTGGTGCTGAGGATCGAACCCAGTGCCCCACACATGCTAGGCAAGTACTCTTCCTCTGAGCCACAACCCCAGCCCTCCCAAATAGTCTTGATCCTTGGTTGGCTGGATCCACAAATGTGGAGCCCACAGGTGGGAAAAGCCGACTGTACACTGTGAATGGTAACTGGGTCCTGAAAACCATCAATAAACGTTAATGTCTGGTGAAAACAACCATCTGTTTTTAAACATAGAACACACACAAACCTGTGGTTTCTTTCTTCATTATGTGGTGAGTTTGACTCTTTGCTGTCACTGCTCTCAGGCAAACCGTTGGTTGTCAAGGGGGCGGATAAAGACACCTTTGGTCGACTCAGTGGCCGGGGTGTTCCAGGCCCATTTATATTAGACCTGTAAGACACACCACCATCATTTCCCCCTTTTGTAAAAAGCCATCCCCCTCCCAAAGGACATTCATAAGAACACATCACATATGTTTCTGCTTTAACAAATTCAGTGAAGCACATCCTATATCCTCCATAAAACATCCAATTTTAAAAAGTACACAGAGTCTGCTATTCAAATTCAGGAAAATGCAAGCTCAAGTATATAAAAATTGCTAGTCTCACCTATCAGTGTAGCTTGGTGAATTTCCAGGGAACATAACACCATTCATTCGATTTAAACTATTTGAATTGTTTTTCCTACAAGAAAAAAAAATTTTTTTTATAAGAACTCTGGGTCTGAAAGGTCTTGTAGGTTTTTAACTGCCACACACCCAGACTTCTGTGGGAACCAATATAAACACACACTGATGAATGCAGGGATCCTGCTAACAGTGAAGGAAACTTCACACAGTTGCCACCCAAGAAAGCAGAAGCAGCTGAGGTCGAACCAATGGTCCTCAGTGGGGGCCACCCTCCCCCACCACCACAGGTGTTGGTGTGGGAAGCATGGACACTTCTGGCCTCAGTGGACAGAGACCAGAGATACTTAAACCTGCAGTTCTCAGGACACCTATGTATAACTAAAACTATCTGGTCCCAAGCTCAGTAATGCCAAGGTTGAGGAAATGTACCCTAAACCAAGTCTTTGCTTCAGGGTATGAATGGCAACAACAACAAATTCTTCTTCACCTGAAGAGGAATGCCATCCAGTGTCTGCTTCAAACCTAGGAGTCATGCCCTACAAGGGCATCAAGGGGCTCTGGTGCCAGGACACCACATAACATCAGCAATATGAGAATCACAGAAGACCGCCCATCTCTTTACTCGTAACACACATACGTAATATTATTGGTCACAGTCTACTCTGGGGACTGGGTGAGAGGTTCATAATAAAAAAAGTCAGTATTTTAATTATGTATTAAAACATAATAAATAACATTAAAATTAGAAAAAAAACTATACTTACTCTGAAGAAGGATAAACACAGCTAACAACCATCACATTCTGCAATAACAAAAATTGTTGATTTAATGAGAGAAAAGAAATACAATATAAAGGTTTAATAATTTGTTTCTAACTTCTCAAAATCACTCTTAGTGGGCTGTTTCCAATAATTCCAGTTTGCTAATAAAAGACAATAAATGGTTAAAAATGAAAACTGATAACAAGAAACTAGTCTTGCTCTCTTCTGAAGACACTCGAGCCACCTACTTAGGGCACGTGTAATGACTTTCCTCATAAAGCAATACCCAATCCAGAGTCACTTTTTTTCATTGCTGGTTTTTTTTTTTTTTGTACTTACTTTTATGGTCCCGAGGATGAAACCCAAGGTCAACTAACCACTGAACTACACCCCCAGTCCATATATATATATTATTATTTTTTTTTACTTCGAGCCAGAGTGACACTAAGTTGCTAAGGCTGGCCTGGAACTTGAGATCCTTCTGCCTCAACTGCCAATTTGCTGGAATCATACACATGAGCCACCACACCCAGCCATCAATATATCCCAAGGAAAGAAACCTGAACCTCTCTTTTTTGGGCAATATGCTTAAAAGAGTAAGTGCTTCTCAGCCCTATAATCCAAATATCACAAAGGAGAAAACCAAGAAAGTGAAGTAACTCGCCCAAGGTCACACAATTATGAACTACTGCAGCCTTAATGTGAAGGCAGGGCACCACCCACCCCGTAAGGTTACTGTGACATCTTGTCTCTTCATTCAGAAATCTAAAAATGTAATTACTAAAGGCCCTTGAGTTGGAAAAATAAGTACTTATGAACCACTGTGGTTTCCTGCCGTTTGGGAATCTTACTCAATTGAGGGCGTAAAGGTTCCACAAAACATTAGCTCAATAAAGGTCCTAAGAACTATTACAAGCCACTATACTGGTTCTGGATTACGATTTCCAGGGTCAAATACATTGATTCTGCCCCTCTCTCTACTCAATACTTACTTTCAAAGATTTCTACCACCAAATTACAATTCTACAAGTTGTGAAACAGAGTACTCTAACATTAAAGTTATATATTAAGAGTGGGACGCGGTGGCGTACATCTGTAATCCCAATGGCTTGGGGGGCTGAGGCAAGGGGATCTTGAGTTCAAAGCCACCTCAACATCTTAAAGGTCATTTGTGACAAACCAAAAGCCAACATCATAGCAAATGGAGAAAAGCTAAATACCTAATCTCCAGCTGGAAGCAGTGGTGCACACCTGTAATCCCAGCAGTTTGGGAAGCTGATTTAGGAGGATTTTGAGTTCAAAGCCAGCCCCAGCAACTTAGTGAGGTGCTAAGCAACTCAGTGAGACCCTGTCTCTAATAAAATATAAAACAGGGCTGGGGATGTGGCTCAGTAATCAAGTGACCCCTAGTTCAATCTTTGATACCTACCTGCCTCCAAAAAGTTACATATCATCTGTGGAGCTTTTCAGAACATTAATATGTTAATACATACAATGAATATCTAAGATAATAAGCTGCTCTTTCCATTCCTAAAAAATCAGCACTTCAGGTCCTCCTCTGCCCCTTCCCATAGATCTTTTCCCAAACACAGAATATCATTTGGAAAAAAAAAAAATGGAAAAAACTCAAGATAGACTAGAAAACTCTGAAGAAAAGGTGCCTGAAAAAGATCTTACCCAATGTTCTTTTCTGAAATCTATTAGGCTTCAGTTTAACATAATTCCCATAATTAAAATAAATACCTTTTCTACTCCTCTGAGAAATTTGTCTGTTCCTGTATAGTTTCTCCTTGGATCTGTTAGCAATTCACATAGTCGCTGAATAGTAAAAGGGATACTGCAAAAGAATATAATTTTATAGATTGAGGTCATCAGTTACCAAGAAAACAAGGATACTTATTTTGGTAGCTAAAACTTTGAGTCACTCATGTTAAGCTACAAAGGGAAATGAAAGGATGAGTCATTTATAAGTAAACAATAAGCACACCTGTTCTATAAGGTGAGAGGTAATACAAAATCAAGTTACAATGCATTTACATACAGAAACTTTTCCTCATTCCCCTGCATACGAAGTTTGAAAAAAGTATCAATGATTTAATACTAGACAGACTAATAAAACACATCATTCCAATGAAAAAGTATTTTAAATATGATTCTGCTCAATGTTACAAGCTTACATAAATTTTTCCTACACGTTTAATCGCTTAAAGTATACACAAACATCCTCAGGATTTTGTTAAGAACCACAGTTAACCACTAAATGCTTTCACAATACATTTTTCACTTGATCACAGCAAATACAAAACTGACATAACATGGAGCCAGAATCATTTTATAAATATCAAGTTTGAGCTCACATTTACTTCCAGTATTCATCAGAATTACAACTGAACAGCAGAATGGTGAGGACAAAAAATGACAGATAGGGCTATAAAGTACAAACACACATCTCTGGACTTCAGTATTTGCCATACACATCTATTCATTCTCTTTGGGGGAAAAAACCACAAAAGCCTCAAATGAATAATCAACATTCACGATGTCATTTACTTCTCCCAGGCAGTTTGACCAAGGATTCCCCATCAAGGTAAAGCAGCTAGTGAGAAGTAATGGTAGGACTCAAATCTAGCTGCCCTCATGTCCAGTCCTACATCTTTTTCACCGTACCACATATATTTAAAAAATAAAAGTGTTTATTTTCTAACTGCATAAACTATACTCGGTTCTCATATTCTTAGCATCATTTTTTATGTTCTCTGTATATTTAATTTATAATAAATTTTGAAAAATGTTATTCACAGGAAAACAATGTATCAGTTATCAGGTTAAGTCCAAGAATCAGTCTTTTCACTCAATTAGCATTCAAACCTGAGCCAGAGGAAAGGGTACAAAGTAAAAGATTAACTATTTTCCTGATATCAAAAATATCTAGAAGCAACTAGAAATACAGAAATGTAACAATATTTAGTATTAATTTATTAATATTAATAATTGGTATTATTAACATTAAATTCACTTGTCACTGGTAGAAGAAATTTCTCAGAGTTTCTGACAATATTCTGAAATCTCTTTTGCAAATCTACTCAGTGTTAAGTACACTAAAGAATCTTTTAAAATGGAGAAGTACAAAGCACACCAACAGCCTTACTAAGAACCAATCAGTAACTTTTCACATCTTTTTTGGTTCATTCCTATCAATACAAACTACAATTACAAATCTATAGTTAATACAAAAAGCAACAACACCAATAAAAAAAATTTTAAGCATTTTCCCCAAGCTGCATATAAAAACAAACATCAGTTCCTCAATTGTCTGTCGCTTCTTGTACTCATTCGGCTAAAAGCCTAAGGACGGCCCTCGTAATAAATATTACTATCATCAATAAGAAATTTATCTGTAGACGAAAGGCACTATCAGAATTTCCAAGTATTAGAGGTATATACCTGTTCATTGGCCCCTCTTCTGTATCACTGCTCTTAAAACTTTAAATACATGTAACACCACACCTAAGCTATTCTCACTATTTACAGTAATATTATAATGAAGAGGGTTCATATATTATTTGAAATATGAAGAATAGCACCAAATGGAGCTTTGGTTGGTACTTAACCAACACATAATTTAATATTATCCAACTAAAATTCTTTCCTATACCATATTCCCATTCTTTCCTGAGGTATTTTCTCTTAAATAAAAATTAACTTTACCATTTGAGTCCTTTTAAACTTCCTGTTTAAAATTTACAGTTTGGGCTATTTCTGTTGATGAATGTGTGTAAAGTCGAGGCCAACCCTGCTCATGGAAGTCTGCGTGTATATGCCATGGTGGCAGCAGCAGCCTGTGATCAAGTGGGCTGGTACTGCTTCACCCAGTTTCCAAAAGATGGCACTGGCACACCAAGCAGTACTCTTCCTCACCCAGACTGGCTGGACACAAACTCACATTTCTTATAAATATTTCAGCCCTAGGAATATTAAAACAAAATGCACTGAAGTCTCATGTTACATACAGTTTGTACTTTTTAATGTATCCTATAAATATAAAGGCCACTACAAATCAGAAACACCACACGGGCTCTTCAGCAGAACATTTAAGTAATCAGACTGATGATGATAATAGCTAATCAAGTTCATACACACTGCTATGGAATAAACTGCATGCCAGGAGAACATGCACAAACCTGGAACAGTTAATCCAAGGCAGGCCATTAAAAGATGTAAAAATGCACATACACCATGGCCGTATGAAAGGTGCGTTTTCTCTGACTTGCAGTAGAAAGCATATGGAAATACTAAGTCTTCTCCTAATAAAAACCACTAGTTAAAAAGACACATGAGTTCAGAAAAATAAAGAGCAAAAATTGGGTTGGGTGCTATCTGAAAACATGCATGCCACTCCCCCTCAATAAAGTATGAAGCAGAAGCCAGAATGGGAGTGGACAGGAAAGGACGTTCACTAGCAAAGGTGTAAAGTAACTTACTTCAAAGAAAATACTTAGGGTTATTTAAAATGAAATCTAGTCAATTTCTTCTGCAATGATATATTGGCTTATCTGCTAATAGGAAGATGAAAAACTGGGTGTGTATGAATCTGAAAAATTTGCATGACTAGCTAACATTTCAACTTATATTCTTATTTTATATGTGTGTGTGTATATATATTATATATATATATATGCATACATACCTATATAAGTCAATAAAACATTTTTTTTAAGTCATTAAGTAAAGGATCCAAGAAGAAATGAGTTCTCAAATGGCGTTACTCAGAACTGCTATAGGAAAACCGTTGAGCTATAAAATGAGTTCTCAAATGGCGTTACTCAAAACCGCTATAGGAAAACCGTTCACTTTCAACATACAAAGTATAAAGTAGGTTTAAAAACAAACAATAACCCGCCAGCCCAAGGTGAATTTACCTCTAAGTGTTCGTGTTCTTCTGGGAAACAGGGACTACTAAGTGCTGTTATGTAATGATCATGAGGCCCAAGTATGACATGACATATGCAAGTCATTTAACAATGCCTAAAATATCTTAGAACGTGCTCAGTAAATAAATCTTGGTCCTATCATAACCCTGATCCCATCCACATCTAATGAAGACTGGAGGAAGGCACAAATTCTCCAAAGACCAACTGGGGAAGAATAAAGCCCAAAGCAGAACTGTTTTATAATTTCAAGAAAAGCAACTACCATTACGAAACAAGACCATGCTTTTTATATTAGTTGTATATTTTCATTTGAATTCATTGCCCCCATTTATTTAATAAATACACAGACCCAAGCCTCATATATCTAAAAGCTTTGGAAATGCTCACTCCACAAAGCTATTAAACATCAGAGAACCATACCTAAGCATGAAGTAGCACCTCAGTGCTGTTTTTCAAAGAGAAATTCTAGGGGATGGGATGTACCTCAGGGGTAGAGAGCTTGTGTAGCAAGGGCAAAGCTCTTGGGTTTGATGCCTTAGTACTATAAAACAAAACATGTAATAAAGACCAGGAAAAGACAAATTTTAAACAATGAGGCTAAACACCCTTAAACATATCATTCCTTGTTAAATTTTAACCTGAGAATATAATTTGACTAAATTTATCTTAAGCTGTTTGATGTTTTTATTACTTACTACAAAAATATGTAAATTATCTGATTATATATCAAGGAATTCAACTGGAAAGAAGAAAAAGGAAAATGCACATCTCATTCGGGATCTAAGGTAAATCAGGCAAACTTTTGGTGCAACTTTACTCACAAAAAAAATAAAAATAAAGGAACATAAAATATAACAGACGTTATCAGAGTAAAAATCTACAAACATATTCTGACTAGTCTAACATTGGAACTTAACTATTAAAGTAGAAACTAACTCAAATATCTCTGTTATCAAAAGCTTATGAAGCCCCCTATTAGGGCGCTGGGGTTGTGGCTCAGTGGTAGAACACTTGCCCAGCATGTGTAAGGCACTGGGTTCGATTCTCAGCACCACATATAAATAAATAAAAGTCCATCAACAATTACTAAAATATTTTTTAAAAAAAGCTTCATAGGTTTACAGTTGTGTTTATTCTTAAGTCACAAAAGTCAGAAAGCTTGGAACCCTTTAATGCTATCTCTACTTGGAACAATATGCTCTTTCTGTACCAAGGTACAGAACATGAACACACACACACACACACACACATTCATACACAAGTATTTTACAACTCAAACCAAATGTCAAGAATTCTGAGACTCACTTAAATGTCATCATGAAAGGACAAGTATAAAAGATTTAAGAAAATGAAGGCTAGGATTTTGTCAATAATTTGGAAGCAATCCCAATGTTGCAAATCAACTGCATCATTCCATGCCCCAAAACTAATCTATGGTACTGTCCAAGTTTTTAATCACGTGAACCATCTCTCAAGAATGCCTGCGATAGTCTAAATTGTTGTTTCATTTGGATTAAATATAAATAAAAGTTAATTAGTTTTCTGCTAGTTCCTGCTTTTCAATTTTGAGAATTTTATTAGATGGGCTAGGGCTGTGTAGTTCAGTGGTAGTGCGCTTGTCAGCAGGCACCAGAGCCTAAGTCCAGTCCCAGCCCTTCAAGAAAGTAACTACTAGAGAAGAGTACCACACATCAAGAAAGGAGGAATGGATGCTAGATAATGCCAATTCTTAACCAATTACACAAGAAAGAAATGAGTCAAAGCAGTCAGAAAACAAAGGAATGAAAGGCTAAGGACCATTCTCTCAGTCGCTGAGAAATCCACAGCTGACTCCAAGACAAACATACAAAACTCAGAAAAACTATGTTTTAAATCTGTAATTCATAAAGTATGAAAATCAAGTGTGTGTGTGTGTATGTGTGTGTGTGTGTGTGTGTGTGTGTGAGAGAGAGAGAGAGAGAGAGAGAGAGAGAGAGAGAGAGAGAGAGAGAAAGAGAAAGAGAGACAGACAGACACACGCTGGGGACTAAACGCAGGCAGGGCCTTGTGAAAGCGAGGCAAGCACTCTACCAACTGAGCTCTAGCCTCAGCCCTGTTCTTTTAAAAGTTCAAAGTGGCACCTCTTGGGCACAGAAACTTTCAAGACACTCAATCATGGAAATGATGTTCAGCGCCAAGTCAACTCTGGCTGATCATGAACATTAGAATAACTAGAAAAGAAATCTGGAAGTCGACTGGACACACAAGCTGGGCAACTTTCCCACACTCTCCTAAACACACAGCGACACCATTTCTGTTTGTCACTCAGGTGAAACATTTTAGAAAGATCACAGCTGAAAGAGCAGTGTCAACTGAGAGCAGGATTTAACAGGTTAACTCACATTCATCATTCTCCCTTCCAAATAACTTGAAGATGGTTTAACTGCCAGGACTTTGAGTTACTTTCTCTACCCTTCAAAACCCCTTTCTGAACGATTAGCTACCAGCAGTTAGTTCCTAAATTATACACATGATGTCTGAGGGGAAGAGTTTCAGGGGGCGTGGCCTTGGTCTGAGTCAATGTGCCCTCTCTTCCTCCTCATTGCTCCAAGCAGAGGGCAAAAAGAGGCAATAAAGATCTTGTAACTGACCATTCCAGTAAAAATGTTCATTTTGTTTATTTTAATTTTTGGTGTTTCTTGCCTAAAAAGCAGTAACTTCAGTTCTGGGGAGTAGCTATAATCCATCTTTTCCTATAATATTTCAAAGTTCAAAAGTAATTGGAGGAGGGGCGACTGGGGATTGAACCCAGGGGCACTCGACCACTGACTGACCCACATCCCCAGCCCTATTTTGTATTTTATTTAGCCTCACTGAGTAGCTTAGCGCCTCGCCTTTGCTGAGACTGGCTTTGATCCTCCTGCTTCCCAAGCTGCTAGGATTATACACTTGCATCACCACACCCAGTTTCAAAAGTATTTTAAAAGGACAAAACAATGACTTTAAAATTAAAAGAACTTAAGCATTTGTTTGTATAATTATTCAATGTCCTATAAAACCAAATACAAACAGAACCCTTCCTTCCTATACCTATCTGTTGAGTAAGGACTAGGCTTGGGTACTCACTCTCCCAGGCCTCCCCTGGAAGGTGCTAGCCCCTTCCTCCAGGAACCTACCACACCAGCAAACAGGAAATTGGAAAACCTACTGGCAAAGAGGAAAAAAATTTTATCTGACACTGTACTAAAGTAATTTTGAATAATGGATAAGCTTTTTGTGGCCAAATACTATGAAGAATTTAATATAGTGCCTTTACAAACTAAAGGCAAAAACAAAATAATAAAACAAACTTAAAAATAAGAATCAGCAAAAGAAAAAAGGGATTATGAAAGAGCAATTCATAAAAGAGCTACTAGCACATAAAAAGGTAGTTACACCTACAACCAAAGAAACAAGTACAAAAACATACCCAGAATTCCAATATCTGCATTTAATACTCATGGAAGCATAAATGAACACATTGTGAGGTAGAGTACTTAGAGTACTCTAGAGTACTTAGAGTTTCTTAGAGTACTAAGAAAAACTTCTAAAATTTTAATTTATTATATATGACAACAGGATGCATTACAATTCATATTACACATATAGCGCATAATTCTTCATGTCTCTGGTTGTACACAAAGTAGAGTCACATCCTTCGTGTCTTCATACATGTACTTAGGGTAATGATGACCATGGCATTCCAATCTTTCCTACCCTGTGCCCCCTCCCTTCCAATCTCTCCCCTTTTCCCTCTAGAGTTCATTTAATCCTCCCATCCCCCCCTCCCTGCAGCATATTATGAATTAGCATCCTTTAATCAGAAAAATCATTCAGCATTTGTTTTTTGGGGATTGGCTAATTTTACTTAGCACTATATTCTCCAGCTCCATCTACTCACCTGCAAATGCCATGATTTTACTGATAAATTAAATTTTAATTGAGTACATGATCTTATCTAACAATTATAATATAAGTCACAAATACCAATAATCATATAGATATATTCAGTACATGACATTCACCAACAAAAGACATGAATAAGAATGTTCACTGTAAGCATTGCTCATTAAGGTCAAAATATAAATGCCCACCACCAACAGGGACGGGGTGAGTAAACTGTGGCCTTGTTGCTATGAGGGAAAACAATGCAGTCCCTTCAATTAAGTACACAGAAGTTGTACTGATTATAAAGAAGATAGCAAAACTCTTCCAAAAGGAAACTACAACTAGCATGTAACATGATTTCATTAGATTCTTTTCTTTGGGTATCTACTTCTACGACATTGGGGATCTATTTAAAAGTATGAACATATACCACTTCTGTAATTTCAAACTTAACCTATTACAAATACAAAGGACACCCTCAAAGTGGTTTAAAAAGAACCAAATGTTTCTTAAGTATTTTTTAAAAATTAACTTATAAGTTAAATTAAATTGAAAAGCTTATAGACATGTTTTAATATAACACAAAGTAAATATAAAGTGACAGTTCTTAACCTATTACTGATTAAGACTTAATTTCTACTTGATTAGGGTAAACAAGTCATAAACTGTCATCCTGAAAAAGAGAATTTAAAAAATTTAGGTTCAAAATACTCAGCTCAAAGTTGAAAAAAGTTTTAAAAGCAATTATGTTTAAGTATGCTTAGGAATTTAATGACTGTTCAAATCATTTTCTGAAGTAGATGAACTGCTTGTTTTACAACTAAGAAACTATAAATATTTAGATTACTGAATAATCTACATACAGCATCTCATCCAACTTCATTTTAAAGTATTAAAAATGATATTTGCTATTACTAATTCAGAATCACAAGTAAATGAACTTAGTATTCTATTCACAAAGCTGTGGTATAATTTGACTTGTTTCACTTTACGTCTTATTCATAGTAGCCACAATTTATTCAAAAGAAAAGTCACTATAATGTCTAAATACTTTTTATTTGTATTTACAAATATCTCAAAAATATTCTTATCTTGAACACATTACAGTTCAATAATAAATCTCATGCAACGTATCTAATACATAGAATATGGCTTCTTCTAGATATGTACTTTTAAGAAAAACAGTTTTAATTCAAACTGGTAAGGAAACACATGATTACACAATTTCAACAGGACATAAGGGTGCTCAGTCTCAGCCCTGAGGCAAAGGCTAGACCACAAACCTCAAAGACAAAGCCATGACACCTGCTAGCCCCAAAGTCAATGCATAAGCGTCAGACATGTAAAGCAAGATTCCTACAACTTAAAAAATTAAGTTACATGACATTTAGTCAAAAAATTACACTTTCTTACTTAAAATTCCATGTAATTCAAGCTATTTATGTTATCTAAAATTACAATCAAAACCATTCAAATAAAACCTACCTCTAAATCATTTAATGGTTAGCAGAAATACAATTTATTACACTTAGTATTGTCATTCCACACTCCACCTTGTTCACATCAGACAAAATACAGCACAATTCAAATTAACATACACTTCCTCCCCTCAATAAAGGAAAACCTGAAACTATGAAGTTCTAAAAGGAAAGAATTTAAAATGACAGAATATGAGACTCAGCATTATTTTTAAAAAGATCACCTTTATTTTAGTTAGTGCCTGTGTTGTCAGGGTTTTTAATGTTTTACAAAAGACTAAAAATGATTACTTGCTAGGAAAGAGAAAGGACTCAAAAATTACCAAATAAAAACTGATAAGTAGAATAACTTTATAAATTGGTATTTTTCATTTTTAAAAAATGTGGCTTCTCTTAATGATACACAAGTTCTGTACTATGTATACAGACTTTTAATTCCAAATATACTATGGTAAAGAAAAAAACATGAAACCATTTCCTGATAAATAAATATTTCCATTGTGTTATACCTAATTAACTAATATTCATTTAAAAATTGGTTAAAAAATACTTTAAGGCTGTAAGCATTTTCAGTACCTGTAAGCTAAAAATCTCCAACTGCTTACTATCAGTTGCTAGAGACATAGAATTCTAATATATAATCAATTATAAAATTATGACATATCAAAACTAGAAGAAAAAAAATTAAGTCCTGCTAAAAATGAAACCTTTAAAATAATATTAAGTGCATACCCATTAAATCCAGTGACAATTTTCAGAATTCTTTCCTTCATTTCATCAAAGGGAATATATTCGACATTAGGATTAGGAGGACCTCTTGGTTCAGGAGCTGAAGTTCTGAAATCATCCATCACTTTCTCCAGTTTGAAAATAAAATAGCCTTTAAATTGAGACCATTGAATCCTATAAGCAAAACAGGAAACAAAATATATAACACCATGTAACTTCAAAATTCTTGGAGTGCAAAGCATAAACCCAGAATACACTAACTGAATGAAATTCAAATGAAAGTATTACTGGGAATGACTTTGCTCAAAAGCATGCATCAAGCATGATCAACATGCTCACAAGCTCATATCCTATTCTACACAATTCCCCAACTCCTCTGACCAAACAAAACCAAAATCCGTGTAAGAATTTTGAAATGCACTAACTCTGGAAGAAAGCCAACAGGGTGTTAGGTTTTTTGAGTATTTGAAGTTTGATTTTGACTCTCCCAAAACAAAAGCAAGCAGGGAGGTACAACTACTCCACTTAAGACAGGTCAGAAAGTAATTTATACCATAATCTCACAGCATCCAACAATAATGCTCCCATGGACTATTAAGGTTTCTAGTCTTTAAACTGTTAAATAACAAGTTTTATTTTTTCATTTCTTTGTAGTGAATACTTTCAGGCTCATTTGCCATGATATATGTTTACATCATTGATATCCACTCACTCAGTGTGACTTAGTAAAAATACATTATTACCTATATTGATTTTTTATTGTTAATATATAGAATTAACATAAGCACTTTTTAATTCTTTTCCCCCCTCAAACTTCAATACTAATAAAAGAGGGAGTTTTATGGTGACTCCTGTATGAATACCTAAATCCCAGGGGATGCCAAGTCAGGGGTGTCCCTATTTCCCCAAGCAGACAGCACCACCATCAGCAGATCCATTTCTTACACTGATTACACAGAAGTAACGGCAATGCTGCTAACCTATGACACTTCTGTCCCATCCAGCACCCCAACAAACACTAGGACAGCAGTTTCCAAAATGTGGTCCAAGAAATCAACACTACAGCTGTTAAGAAAAAGAGTTGCTTTCCCACTATGTATTTTTCCCCAGTTCTTTTTACTGTTCCAACTGGTTACCCATGACAGCAGAATGCACTGTAAATCACTGTACACGAACGGAGCACAGCTTCTCATTTCTCTGGCTGTACACGATGTACAGTTACACCGTGATGTACAAGTCATACATACACGTAGGATAATGATGTCCCTCTCATTCCACCATCTTTCCTAGTCCCATTTCCCCTCCCCTCCCCTTTGCCCAACCCAAAGTTCCCCCATTCTTCCCATCTGCCCCCACCATTATGCATCAGCATCCACATATCAGAGAGAACACTGGCCTTTGTTTTTTAGGGATTGGCTTATTTCACTTAGCATAATATTCTTAACCCCATCCACCTGGCTGAAAATGTCATACTTTTATTCTTTTAATGCTGAGTAATATTCCATTGTGTATATATACTACAGTTTCTCTACCCATTCATCTATTGATGGACAATCTAGGTTTAGCTATTGTAAATTGGGCTGCTATAAACACTGATGTGGCTGTGACCTTTGGGTATAGACGGAGGAGTAGGTTGACATCTGTGCTGATGGTGCCAAGAAAGGGTGGGGGTAAAGGTGATGGCAATTTAGCATCAACCAAGACAGGGAACAAGACTGAACTAGTGGTAGTACTCATTGTACTCTTTACCACAAATTCATTGTGTTAATTATTATTATTATTATTATTATTATTATTATTATTATTATTATTATTATGTGTGTGTGGTGCTGGGGATTGAACCCAGGGCCTTGTGCATGCAAGGCAAGCACTCTATCAACTGAGCCGTATCCCCAGTCCTCATAGTGTTAATTAAGGGGGGAAAAAGGGGTTTCATTTAAAAACGTAACAAAGAAAAACTAATTTCATTGAATACACATCTTTTCTATGCATCAAAATCATAAATGCACACACAGTGCATATGTGCACACTACCTACCAAAGTTGCATGGAGGTCTTGGGAAACAACCCTGTACAAGAGGACCATCTAAGCTACCTGCTCTTTTTCACAGAAGGCCATTTCTACATGGAAGAACTACCACAAAGCCAGTGCTTCTTCAAATCAGGATGTGTCTATGGATTTCTCAAAAAGCACCGACTGAAGTGAGCTTGCCATTTCAAGAGAAACTGACAAGATTCATTGTGAACAATAAAACTTAAATTTCTAAGCCAGAAACTCAAAGTCTGGGAAATTAAAAGTCTGGGAAATTTTTATTCTTCACCATGAGCTTGGAAAGTTCCTGATATATTCCCCAAATCTTCTAAAAGCAATAAGTGTTGACGTAAAAGTAGCACCAAAAGCATGAGAACAATGGACCAGTTTCTGTTTGGGTGGATGAAAACATTGTGGAAATGGCTGGTATGGATGGCAAAACAACACTGTGGTTACATCAATAAAATTTATGGTATGTATGTTTACAATAAAAGTCTTGAAACAGGCAAAAAATTGATTAGGCATTTCTCTAAAGTAGTTATGTATGAAGCATATGAAAAGATATTCAGCACTGTTATCTATTAGGATGCAATGCAAATCATAAACACTGTACAATGAGATACCAATTACAACCCCCAGAGGGGCTATAACAAGAGATGAACACATGTTTTCGTGATAAAGTGAAGAAACTGGAATGTCATACATTGTTGTTGGGGATGTGGCACTGCTTTGGAACATACCTGGGCAGTTCCAGGTATGGGTGAGCTGACATGTGATCTAACAAGCTCACTCTAGTAAGTGAACAAATTATATGGTATGTAAATGTTACCACAATTATAAAAGAGCCTGGTGAAGAAGATCATTAGAAGCTACCTGTATGAAAACTTTGTTCCTCCTTTCTCTAATTTGTTTTCAAATGGGGAATGAAGTTTAAAAAGGGAAGGGAAATTTGAGGTTAAACAAGGAGAAATGGCCAAGTATAGTGGTGCAGGCCTATAACCCCAGCTACTCAGAAGCTCAGGCAGGAGCATACCAAGTTCAAGGGCAGCTTGAGCAACTTAGCAAGACTGCTTCAAAATAAAATTTAAAAGATGGGTCTGGGGAAGATGTAGCTTACCAAAATAGTGCTTGCCTAACACATGTGAGGCCTTGGGTTCCATCCCCACCACTACCACCAAAAACAAACATACATACATACATTCATATATATCTCCAAATGCTTTCTAAAATTTATCTAAAAATTGTATAAGATTTCCCATATTAATTTAACTAATACCAAAAAATGTAAAACTGAAATAAGCCTTATACTTCACATTTCAAGTTAAAATTTTTTCTCTTTCTTTGAAGGTTTTTCTTTTTTTTTGGGGGGGGGGGGGCAGGTGGAGAACAGGGATTGGACTCAAGGGTACTTAAACACCTAGCCCATTTTATTGAGACTGGGCCTCACTAAATTGCAAGATCCTTGCCTCAGTCTTCCAAGGTACTGGTATTACAAGTGTGTGCGAACAAGGCCCAGCTTTTCTTTACAGTTTAACACATGAAATCCCAAGTTGTCAAATTATGTGAATATTTCAATGAAATCAACACCAGTGTACATAAAAACAGGCTGGAGACCATAATCTAGACTTTACACATTTTATTTATATTATTATATCATAATTATTATACTAACAAATTACATACAATATTTGTTTTTATAAGTGCTTCACACCTGGGACCAAGGGACAAAATAGGTTAATAACTACCCACTAATTTATAATTATAAAATTTATAATCACAAAATTTATAATTTTATGAATTCAGATTACCTTATACACAAGGATTCCTTTCCTCCCCTATTCATTTGGTTTAATAATCATGGTATCCAAGAAAACACACATTAATAGGATAGCCAGATAAGAAGGAAAATTATGAGGGGCTTCAAAGACTATGATACTAAGTCATGAGACAGGAATTAAGTCCCATAAACTGACAAATTATGTACACATTGTATTTAAACTTTCACAAGTATTAAAGTTAGATCGAAAGACACAATTAATGTGATACTATGCTATATGCCAATTTTTAAAAGAGCCTCTAGAACTCGAGGACCCATTTTTTTTTGTTGTTGGAGTACAACTATTTGATGAAAACAAAAACAGAAAATGCTTCCCTAAAAAGTATATAGAATTTAGGAAAACAGGTCACGAGGCAATCAACTAAAAATTTGCTAATAAAAATGATTTTCTTAATAATGTACTCAGTAGAGGAAAAGAGAAAACAAATCTTAGTTTTCAATATGAAAACGAAATTATTCTAAACAGATACTTATGAGATTTTCAACTTCTAATCAATTTCTCTATATAAAATATTTTTCCTAAATAAAACACATATTCACAACTTAAATCTACTTTGCTGAAATACCTCAAGAATTTACTGAAACTCATTAACTTTTCAAGAAATCCCTCCCTTTGCCTCCTTTTTTTCTTTTTCCCTCAATTTTCTCCTTTTTTGTTTTTTCTCTTCTAGGAAAGCAAAACTCCTAACTAATAAATATATCTTCCTGCTGAACACCATACCGAGCTCTTCTTTTCTTCTCCACAGGAACTCATAAGTCTATATTAAAATGTTTCCCTAACAATTAAAAGATTAAGATATTTTTCAAAGGCTCCAGGACAGACGGATCTATCTTTTCTTCCCCCAGCTGATTCTACACTGTGGTGGCCAGTGGCCACAACATTAATTTACTGACTCTAGACTATTTCAATCTATTAAGATTATTTTCTGGGCTGGGAATGTAGTGCAGTGGCATAGCACCTACCTAACCTGAAGAAGCACCTGGGTTCAAGCCCCACCACCACCTCAAAATTAAACAGCCAAGACAAGTAAGTAAATCTCTGCAATCAGCCCAACTGCATTCCACACAGAACTGAAGGGAGGCTAAAGTGAGAGCAAGCAGGAGACCAGGAAAAGTCCTACTACCAGTTAATATTCCAAAGTATAGTGAATACTGCACCATCTGTAAACAAGGAAAGGGAATAGGAGATTGAGTGAAAAAAGAGAAATCTGCAGGAGCTGATCACTCATGAAAGGTGACAAGACTTATAAAATAATCTCTAAAAGGAAGAGATTTGAATTAGGAGACATACAACATCAGAGAATTC